TGTAATGGTCGCGCCTTTTTTTCTTTTACTACAAGGGATGCAATTCAAGGAAGGTCCGTATATACTTCTCTACTACCCTGTGTGCGATTCTTGATTCCTTTAATTAAGCTCGGTTGAGAAAATTCTACTATAACTCCTACATCTATCTATAGGACTTTATATATATATGTATCCTGATATATAACACATGACGGTGTACCGCAATGGAAAAGCTCGTTGTAAATCTTTTTTTTCTCTTTTCTCCACTTCCTTCCTTTCTTGGCACATACTTGGAAGGACAAGGCCACTAATGAAAGGGAAAAGGAATTTATCGTCGATATAAATCGAAGCTGCTCTCTCCTTTCTCTCTCCTCGTCGCTCTGCTCTGATAGATCGTGTAATATGTTCGGAAGGATGTCGAGTCCGATACGAGCAAAAAATGAATCATGCCTTTTATTGGCTTTTCTCGTGAAGAATTGCTTTGCCATTTTGGCAGCGCCTCTCTCTCTCTCTCTCTCTCTCTTTCTCTTCGTATCCCTATCTCCCTCCTAATTCTAGTACGTATCTCTTCCTTTTCACTTTTTGTTTTATTCTCCTGTGTCCGTCTCTCTTCCTCCCTCTTTTGCCCGATCCACGGCAAACACGACGGTCGGATTAATTAAGCAGCAAGGATACACTTGACGCTGCAGGGATCCTTGCATCCTCTATGTACTAAGCGTGCCCTTTCATCGTTCACTCGGATATTCCTATAGGCGCTGATCAACCCTGTCTATGTACCAGCATTCATACATATGCCCTCTTACGTATCATCGATACGCACGTTTTATTGCTCTTTGCCGATCTTGTTGACGTACCCTTATAGAGATCATCCTATCTCGCCCACACGAGTGGATCTAGTCAATGACTTTGTATTCGTATACATGCATACGCTATGCGTAATGGGCACGAGTCTCGAGAGGTATTTGGCCTTGGTGTATCTTTCAATCTCACGGGCTCGCTGCCATTTTATTTTTGACTCGCCGTGACACTCGTGCCAAGATACCTCAAGAGCCCACGCAAAAATCACAGGTATAGCCCGAGTGCCTGCCTGTAGAAATCGACTTGAAAGGAATTGAGGCCGAAGCTACTGCTCGTCGAGTGTCCCTCCCGATATTTCGTATTTCCATTATCCGTAGGCAGGAGGCTGGATTCTGACTCGAAGCTGTGCTCGCTCGTCTGTTTCCACTGGCAACGCCGTACCGAAAAGTCTCTCTCCTTCTCTCTCGCGGAGAAGAAAAAAAAAAAAAAAAAGTTTTATCCCAGCGCACTCCGGAGCTTTCCACAAATTGCCCGAGGCAGTGCCCACCTCGGTCGCTGGTTGGCTGGGTGTCTGGCCTGGGTCACTGGCTTCCAGGGTGGCTGCCTCTGGCTGGTTACCGAGCCTACTACGCATAGGCGGACGAACGTCAATGCTTACTTTTTAATTAAAAGTTTCACATTTAAAACACCCTCTCTGACTCATTTAGCCCGGTTTGTCTCGCGGCTCCGGTGACACGATGAAAGATTCATGGCTGTCGAGCCTTATACCGGGTGACTCCTATGGTCTTTGTGTACTAACCTATACTCGGTTTTCCCATACGTCCTATAGGGACTTTTGGTTAACAGGTTATACGTGTACCCTCTGACTCTTTCTGGGTACGGGGGTGGGCTAACTCCGTAACATCCCTCCTTCCACTTTTGAGTTTTCTCCCTGGTGCGCGCAGCATCCCTTGGGCCTCAAGTTCGAGATCCTCGCGAACCGCTCTCCTGGTATTAAACCCTTGGGATAAGACCCGGCACTTTGCTCGGTACACTCGCTAATTAAATTATTCTGAAACAGCGGAGCTGCACCACCCGGACCTCCTCGTGCGTTCACGTGCACTCGCTCGTGCCCACGCGTGTCCCACGCTGCCGTCCCCTGGGCGTCCCGCGTACGTCACTCCACGAGTAGTTAAGGATCTTCTTGTACGCATGGAATATTTTCTTGGAGCAGACGCTAACCCAGTATTGTCCTTATGGTAGACCCGGTTGAATTTGAAAAAGGGATGTCCTCCTTGAGACGTCTCTGGGACATGGCTGTGTAGAGACGAAAGGAGATAATTATCTTACTCCGAATTATCTCCCGTGCTTCCCATGCAAAAAAGACCTCGAGGAATTTTCCGAGAAAGAAGTACGAAGGGTAATTTCATACGTGACGCGATTTTTCGAAAGATGGCCGACGATATCCCTTCCAGGGGGGGGGGGAGGGGCGGCGGCTCCGTTTTGACAGGGAAGAAAGAAAGAGAAACCTCAACGAGAAATGACAGATAAGCTACGGGGAAAATGGCTCGCGGGACAGAGAACAAATGGTTTGGAAGATAGCGAGAGATGCTGTAGTGCTTTTCGAACTCTTACTTCATCCTTATCTTTATCTTCTGTTCATCTTCTTCGTCGTTCCATTTCGCCCTCTACGCTTTACTCCGCTACTACACGTCGCCACTGTCATTTACCAAAGCTGCCGTCAGAGGCACTGGCATCGCCATACAGATCGGGATAGGCGCAATCCCCGTAATCGTCTGGCAGCTACAAATAAGACAACGAACGGATGCCGAGGAAATTTATCAGGCGTCGCGACGCTCCGGGAAAACTACGTCCGACCGAAACTCGCCGATAATGGACGTCGCTGGCCTCGGGAACGTAATCTCTCCTCTCTTTAACGTTATTCATTCGCCTTCCGGCATATTCCTTCTGGAAGTCTCTTGGAACTCTCTGACAATTTCATTTGGATCCGCTGATTAATGTAATGGGATACATCTGTTTTATAGGGACGAGAAAGAAAAAATATAGATATATATATCGATGATCCGACGATCGATGTCTTTATGAATTTATTTACGTAATATACGTCAGTACGTAAAGCCACATGTTTCGTTTCGTGAAAGATAAATAAAATGTAACGTGTTTTCACGTCGAGTCCTCTGTTAAATTTTGTCTGGGTTATTTAGGACGAATCCAAGACTCTTGAAGTGCCTCGTCGATATTTAACAACCTACCGGAGGAGCGTCGCGATGCCCTCGTGACTTCGGTACCTCCGTTGGGATCGATGTTAATCCCTAAAAAATTTACACCTTTTATCCAGTCACCGGTGGCTCGGGGTTCGGAATCGCGATTCGAGCTAAAATATTTTTCTTTCGGCACTTTATCCTGTCCTCGCTTTCACCCAGCCTGACCCCACCGCATGGTAGTTCCTTTCTCAAATTTATTGCTATTTTCCACCCGAGCCTCCAAACACCTGAGCCCACCCCGCAACACCCTTTGCATAATGGCCGATACTCTCGGCTTTGTATATTGGCTGAAGTCACCGATCCTCCCTCCCACGTGCCTAAGATACTTTGCATCCTTTTTACAACGTCCATTCTCCCCCCTCCGCTTCCCTCGTCTCGCGCACCGTCGACGTCTTCCACTTTAGCTGCTGTTTCTACTTTTATCTCCGATGACCCCCTATAAATAGCCGATTATTACTCATCCTCCAATAATATCTTTGAAATGGCTTTTTGTGCGGCCGTGGAAAACGAGTTCAACAAACAATACTCGAGCCGTGAATCAAGCGCGAGATTCAGGGGACTCCTTCCCATTCAATGCCATAGAAAGATGGCCCTTCGTGTAGAACACATTCTACTCGCAGATACATCCATATACGCCGAGCAACACGAAACCATCGCGTGGCTACGTTCTCGCGTTGGATGCGTCGCGACGCTTTTTTTTTCTCATCGCAATCAAAAAGCGTGACACGTAGTTAACGTATTCTTAATTATAGCTCAGACGACACATGCGAAATGCATCGGACGTCTAATTGGCCGAGGCCGTGTAGGATCGAACAAAGGAAAGAAATTACGTACTATGTATACAGTATTTATGGGTATAGTCGTATGAGCAATTTTTCTTTTAATCGTACATACGTGACGATAATTACGGTCAGGACATTTTCACTGCAGGTCGTGTACGTTCCTTTGGGACGGGTATACTACGTTCGTCGATACTTTAGCCGTTCCGGCTAAGGAAAACTCGAATGGGAAAAGTGATAAAGTTTTACGTTCCACAGCCTGTCTCGTATTGGCACCGGTGTCTGATTGCATCCACCAGTGACGTATATGCGCTACGTTCGCGGATGCCATTGCGTTTACTATATACACGTTGCAGCTGTATTGGGTCGATGTCTTTCTTTTAAGCTAAATAAGGAGAAAATGCAAAGACGTTGCAAAGCAGAGCGTATCGACGTTGCAACTATCAGTCAAATATACTCTGTCACGTAATTTTCACGTATCCGACGTTCAGTGCTCTGTGACTGGGATAACATAACGAGGAAACTAGCCTAACTGACCAACCACTAGGAACAGTGGTGTGTATATATATATATATAGTCTCGCTCTTTATATTTGTTTTCTCTGTTTCCCCTCATTTAAATTATTCCGCACTTTCCAAGTGCATCGGATGCCATTTCTCCTAACGTCGATACGCACGCTTTGATATAATCTCTAGAAATTCTCTCTCTCTCTCTCTCTCTCTCTCTCTCTCTCTCTCTCTCTCTCTTCGTCTCGTTAGTTCTCTTTCTAATGCTCTCGATTCATTCATCGGCTTTCCGATCGCACGCGATGCACGCACGTTTTACGTATGCACATATTATATGTATATATGTAAACATAGCTCGAATACCATTAGCATTATCGTTTTGGCATTGTTCGAGTTCTTCGTGGCAATAGGGAATTTGGTCTCGTGGGGAATGGCGAGTATGGAAGGTGGTTTATGTTGGTCTCCGAAGGATTAGACGAGGTGGAGAGATATTTGAGTTAAGTGAAGGTATAGAGAGAGAGAGAGAGAGAGAGAGAGAGAGAGAGAGAGAGAGAGAGAGAGAGAGAGAGAGTCTAGAATGAAATAGTAGGGTCGTCATTGCGCGTGCGTTCTAACCGAATAGCGGCGTCCCTGTCTACGGAAGATTCGAGCCCCCCCAGTCTGTCCTCGTACGCGGTTTATGCCGTCGCGACGCCAGTGCGACGTCGACGGGCGTCCCGGCCGTCCGACGCTCCCGCGTCCTCATCGTAAAGACGCGCATCAGTGGCGTCCTTGTGTGTATCTCCTTGAGTGCAATATTCTAACAGCCGTACGTCCTAAATAGCAGCTTCTGAGTTCGCCGCGTGTACGCGTTAGTAAATATTTGCCGAGACTCGAGAGGGATTTATTTTAGCGAATTTTCATAATATTATTAAATCAATTAATTTTTATCTCCTCAAAGGATTTCATGCAGCAATTACAAAGATTTAGTTGGACTTCTATTCGTTTTTGTTCTTTTCCCTTATTGTCATTGTAGAATTGTACGCGAATTGGAAAAAATCTATTTTTTTTTTAAAGTTGAATATGTACGCAATACTAACCACATGATGTAATTATACATTCATCGAATTATTTTATCGGAGAACTTTCATCGATTTAACGATAAGAAACGTTCTTCAAATCTTGATAAGCACTGTTCCGCATGATTCGTATTATTCCACGTAATTTATTGTTAGTCGTGCCTAATATACAACGTGGAGACCTTGTTCTTTTTTCCGTTCTCTCTTCTCCATCATATTCAAATGTTCATGGAGGAACTCTGTACTCTGCATCCCTGTAGCAAAGGGTGTTTCAAACTACCTGCAAAAACTTTCTCAATTGCTCCAGATATGAATCTCAGCCTGTTTCTCATATGAAAAAGATTAACAAGTCCGTACAGTCCGGTTGCGAATAACTGTCCGCGCCTGGTAGCTTTACGATATTTCGACCGATACCCAAAAGCCACACCCCGTAAATTCGAAAATAGGCGGCAGTCTCGTTTGTAATTTGAAAAATTCACACGCGACGTCGAGCCCACCCCAATTTTAAGACACGTCGTGTCGTCCGTCGCGAAGCCTGGGACGGAGAGAAGACGAAAAGAAAAAAGTAGGAAAAGAAAAATAACACGACGTGACTATCGCTCGACTATCTCGTCACTCGTAAACCTAATTTCATCCGGTCGACTTGCCTTTACCCGGTTGCACAATCCACGCGACGCTTCTTATTTCCCCATTTCTTTTATCTCTTCTCTGTCCCCACCATCGGGCACGCGTCCCTTCCTGGCTTCATTCGCTTGTTCACACACCTGTTCCAATTCAGGCACGCACGCTTCATTGCGGTGACGCAATTATTTTCAATAACAGTGCGAAATTGACTCGGGATTCACTGATTTCAAAGCGCTGGATGCTGCGGACTATATTCACGTCAGATCTGGACCACTCGAATGGAGAAACACCTGTTGTCAGAAATACTGTACGAAACTGTAGAATCGTCGATAGTAATTTTTTATATGACAAAATTTTTTAATTTTTCAAAATCAAACAATTACAACCTGTCTTTTGAATAATAATAATCAGTCGAAAATTATTCCTCTCGAGTCCCAAGTATTTGGTATTAAAATCCAGGGGCTTTGTCCAAATACTCGAAAGTGCTTGTCTGCCTTCCATTTGATGCCATTTCACTGTCCTTTATTAGCTCTTAAAATTCCTAAAGTGCCGGGAGACCCTAAACCGATTCCAAGTGATTTGAACTCGATGATCCCCGTCACAGTGGGCCCAACGGGTTACTTCGCCTAAACGAAGTGCGAGCCTCTTCGTTGACCCGTAAACTCTTTATAGCCCTTTATCGAGATCGTTTCACGAGGGTGAATAACCATGCTGCCACCGATTATAAACAACATAAACAGCGACATACTCACCCTCTACACGAATCCCAGTGCGGTGAGGAACAGCAGGGGGAACCGCACGAGCACCCGGGGTCGTTACGCTGAAATTGGCGTCAAGAGGTAAATAATTAATCACTGTGAAATCAATAATATGGATCAATCCTTTCCCCTCGTTCTTAGTATTTTTTTTTTACGAAGACGTACAACGGAGAGGTTAATAATCAAGTCATGGCGGAAAATCGATTTTAATCAACAGTTAATATGAAATATGATAGGAAAGTGGAGGACAGTCAGGTGCCCACGAAGCCCTCCAGGTTATTCTTAAGTAAGCTCCTTAACGTAAGCAGCTTAGTCTCGACTCTGTGAACGGAGCGTCGATGCGATTCGTTATTATTATTTTTTTTTACAAGGCACGAGACCTCTCGCCCTTGGCAATCTCGCGAACCACCCTACGCGGCGACCGGTGAGTGTCGCGAGAGCAACCGCCAAGCGCGACGCCCCCCTGGGTTTCCCTTTGAACAGCCCGAACAGCCCCTAGACTGAGCAGCGTGAATGCAGCGAGCAAAACGCGGAAGATTCTAATGAACGGGACTTTTTTTTTTAATTTTCATCCTCTTCGTCTCTCCTCCATTTCCTCCGGCCACCTTTAACCTCACCTCTGTTTCTCAAAGTACCCGACTGCTAGGGGGGGTCAAATGGTGCTTTAACGTCATAGCCGAAATGCCACTCTAGGGCTCTTGACGTTACGAGTGCGCTAACCACCGTGCACCCAGTACTGTTTTGAAGCTCTGCATTCGTCCTTTGTGCTTTGCACTGGTATTACATGTACGTACGTATTGCGTAACGTACTGTTGCATAAGCCCGCGCACGTGGGCATTCGGCTGAATTCATCAGGCGAATTAACCGGTGCACTTGACATTCAGTTTCATTGGTGCTTCTGTTTTCCCTCGCTTTTTGATCTTCTCGCCGGTGATAAAGACACCCGATCAGATCTTTGCCTTAGGATATTTCAAATTCAATTGAAGTACACACCCTGCACGGGCAGGGTTGTTACCTAATGTAAGACTGAAATGCTCGGTCGCCCTGACCTTTGTAGCTGGGAAAATGATTTGCAATCACCCTCCACGGTCTACTAGGGGTCGCGCGAATTCACTAAGGAGGAGCAAAGGGACAAGGCCGTGTCTCATCCAGCGGGAACGAGAAACTTTCACGAAATCAATGCGGGCCGCCCGGAAACTCTTGGGGGATGATCCGCTCTTTTCGGGTGATAACGAGGAGACGACAGGAGGGTCGGGAAGATGGGGTGGTAGATGATGAAGGAGGGAGGAGAGCACTGGGACGTTTCTATGGGGCGAGAGCTTGCGAAGGGTTGAAAGGAATATGTGAAAGAGAGAAAGAGAGGGAGAGAGGGACACAGAATGTCTCCTTTGAGGAGCAGACCAAGAATCCGTGGACCAATCGATGAATTTCCAGACGTTTCCGGACTTGTTCAAAAATTGTGCCACCCCTGTTTCTTCTCCCTCCCGGTCATCCAAGAACACTCTTGGGCCACCCTTTTAGATTCCATAGTAATGGACTCGGTGGCATCCAGTCATACGGACTGGACTACTAGGAACACGTCTACTGTCTCCACCCACGGGGCCAGACTGGAATCTAATATACCGGGTGACGTCAGACATCCACAGGGGAGAAACAGACCGTGGAGCTACTTAGTGCGTGAAGTGTCGCGTGTTACCTCGGGTAACCGAACCTCACTTCCACTTCGGTCTCACCGTGAAACCCAAGAGTCACTCTTTGGCTTCGGTTTCTCCTACCACGTATCCTCCTCTCTTTCTATCTTGTTGGTTGTATGCGCACAGTTGCCTGTAACTTCTTACCCTGCACTCTCTGCTCGCACTCTCTCTCTCTCTCTCTCTCCACTATATCTACTGTTGTATATAGTACGTACTGGTACACTTTGCATGTACAGTAGGTACGGTACACCGTATTAGACATTGCTGAGGTGCATCAAGGAAACCGGATAGTTCCTGTGGCTATGAAGTCGGCCACACTTCCACGACCTCCTGAGGGTCTTCTTAAAGAGCGCCGTTTTGCGAGATCGGCATTTTGGTAAAAGAGAGAAAGAGAGAGAGAGAGAGAGAGAGAGAGAGAGAGAGAGAGAGAGAGAGAGAGAGAGAGAGGAAGAAATTCAAGTAGGTACATGATAATTAGTATTATCGTTAAGAGTTTATTGGGGGTCAAAGAAATAATCTGGTAGAAAATGAAGATGATCACCGAACGCTGTTACTAGGAAGATTCATGATTTGGTCCTATGGGTATACGGCGTAGGAAGTGACGTAACCTGGAGATGAAAGAACTCCTAGTCTTTTACTTAAAATATGGCCTTGTTTTTCGCTTGGGAGGAACCGCAGTGGATTGGATATTAGTAGGAACTTTTTTTTCTCTTCCTACCCCCGGTCAAGAAAAATTGGAAAAGTTTTGTTTCCACTTTTACAGAGATGCCATTTACCAACTGAGTTTGGTTCTAGCGGTGCTATGATCGCTGACCGGAAAATCTCTATCGTCCGGGAACGCCTTAGATTTTTGTATCTACTCATCTCACTCGTTCCATCGCCTCTCTTGCACTCGGGTACAGTCTATGTCTCGCAGTCATTTTTCAACTTCTTAACTTCCGCTTTTTCCCTGTTCCCGTTGCCGCCGTTCTCCGCGGTGAAATAACAAGACTGAGAAGAATAGAGTCTAATGCACATCGTCTATGTCTGTCTCTCTCTAACGCGCTTAACTTCCTATATCTCCCTCTCTCTCGCACTCACGGGCGACATAGGAAACTCGAATAATTCAAGGTCCACAGACCTTTTCGCTTTGCCGGAACTTATCGCTGTGTTTACCTATCGACCATGTTTCTTCCATAGGGTTGATTTTGAACGAAACGACCCTCTCCACCGTGTACGCACGTCCTTTGCTGGTACGGACTTAACCAGGAATTTACATGCTGCTAAGACGTATTGGCTGAATTCCAATTGTAATGAGGCTACGCTGCGACGTCTGGAATTGGCTTTAGGCTAAAGCTCGCGCTTTGAATACGAAACCTGAGGAGCCGCGTAGTAGGTACAGTCTGTGCCTATCACGGTGTCTTGTTTTAACCCACTCGACGTTACTTCACTCAATCCCTCCAAGCCTCGCACGACTTTACAAGGAAAATTTCACCTCAGGAGCTTCCGTCTCGTTTCGACGCTCTGACAAACTCCTGTCCCCATCTCGTGGCGTCCTATCATTCATTGCCTATCTCATTCCCACCGGCCCGAAAGCTTTCAGGCGGCTTTTCAATTTGCGATCCGACGACAGTCTGTCACGAGCGCGTACGATTTCGCTGGTTTAGCAAGGGTTGTGCAGCCACTGTAGTCATCAGGACGTGCACGCTAAGCGGTCGGGTCATTAATACGTAAAACTGCAAGCGCCGTGCCACGTGTTGAGAACCTTCCGTCGTCATGGAAACCCCCATCTGATCTCACAGACGACCAACGCGCAACACACCCTTGGTAGCAGGAACGGCAGTGGCAGACTCCAAGGCATTCTACGGTACCACTACCATAGACTACAAGAAGAATGTCAACTGTCAAACGCACAGGACAATACATTGTACCTACCGCGCCCTCTTCGACTTCTCTGTACCCTCTGTGCGAAGCCCTCTGAAGCCACCCTTATACCGAACTACCCGTTTTTAACATGCGAGCTAACCAGAGCCAACCCCATACTCAACCCCAGTGCCATTCTAATGCACTGAACTCTGTATGACTATCGGTCTAAATCTTGTTTGACAGCGACAAGACGTCGACCCTCTTGTATAACCTTTGTTTCGATCTGTGTACTCGGCGTATAGAAGTATGCAAGTCATTTTAAGGGATGATGTTTCTTGGATCGATCGTCACTTAAAGGGATCGTAATTTTATTTCAGGAGCGATGTCTTCCTGGAACCGTATCTACAGCAGCACGGAACTGTTCAGGTGGTCAGTTCACCCAGTACACCCCCGCCCAATCCCCTCCAGCATCATCAACTTGCGCAGCTACATCATGTACAGGTACGTTCACCTCGAGTGGCTCGAGTTGGTGCTACACTTATTTATATGGTTATTTATTCGTGCGCATGCGCCTCGTAATAATCTCGTGTCGTTTCAACCGAAAGTGATTCGCCGCCCATCAGACGACTAACCAATTCCGCTTGGTCCGCGGTACCTGGCACCAGCATCCTCCCGTCGCAGACCGAGGTTGTTTCGCGTTTCCAATGTAATTTAATTTGGAATGCAGACTGACACAACGGCAGTTCCGACTAAAGGGATTAAACGGGAACGTGCGACGCGTGCTGAGCGCAGGGCTAATTGCAAATCCCTTAATTGCCCGTCACGGACAAGTTTACAACTGACGCGGAGCAACGATACTGATTACGAGAAATTTTGTTTTTTTTTTGTCCGTCACAATTGAGGTAGATAGGAAAGGAAATTGGAAAAAAAAATTTGACACCAACCGTAACACGAATATATTTATATATACCCTCCTTTAAGAACTGTCCAGTGGAAAAAAGGTATGCGTGGGGGCTCGCTACTGTATACCAACTCAGGGTCCATAGAGTGGGATTAGCATTGATATATCGACGCTAAAGCATGCGGAAATCGGACCGGTCTAACTGCGATAAAAAAAAACTGATCTGAAGTATACGTGCGACCGAACGAGAGGAGCCAGCGATCAATCTGGATCAATCAAATTGTACGGGGATATAGCGTCGAATGAATTTTAGAAAAATACCCACCTAGCCAAGGGGTGAGTGATCGCGAGTGAAGTGGGTCTCTCTGGCTGTTCGCGTAAGACAGGGAAGTTTCTCGAAGTCGAATTTTCATCACAATGAAAAATCCACTTTTGAAACATCGACTCCGGGTAACTTGAGAGTCTCGCAGGGATCGATACGCCGTTTCTACTTTGCCGCCTTCCCTATCCCTGCATTGTCTCTCATCCTTTCTTGTTATGGCGATTTCATCCTCTTCTTTCTCTCCCATCCCATCGGGTCTGGCTTTCAGGGTACAAATGTTGCAGCTCGAAATGCCCAGGCCCAATATCGTTGAGTAACGTCAGCCCCCGCGATGCGTTTCTATGGGGCGTACCGATAAAGGCTGTGCACTGTAGACGCATAGATGAGAGTGCGAGGAATGGCCGCCTAGTGGCGCTGGAATAAATCGGGAATTGGCATTGGCTGCAAATTGAGATAACCACCCTGTGCGGGAGCAGCCGTATAAAGCCCATGGGAATATAATGTGGCATTAGAGTGTATTGTCAGCGGGTCCCTGGGGAGGATTTACACCCCATGAATTGCGGCTTAAGGGGCTGATTCGCACGAAATTTCCATATTTATCCGTATACACGTAACTGCGGTGTACTATCTTCACGGTGACGTACGTATCTAGCGTGACGTTGTTACGTAATGAATTCTTAATTAGTTCCCACGATCTCGATTACATTACCATCTTATAGCGGGGAGGGTAAGATATGCGTGATCAATGTGATAACCCTATAATGAGAAGGTCACGTGATCTAAAAGCGTGAAAATCTTTCGTATGCACTTTTATCTCGATGCCCAGCTTCTTTTATCGTAAAACGAGAGTATCGCACCTGGTCCAATCTCGTTCGCTCACTCGTTCACGAGGACGGATGGAAATAGAAAATGGACCATTTCCTCAAGAAGATCATCCCACCAGTCCGATTCCCGTTCTGGAAATCGTATCCCTTTATTCCTTTCGTCTAGACGCCAGGATGACTTTCGTACAGGGTCAAAGGATTGCCGATGGCCTGTGTGCTGGCTGCTGGTAAGAGGAGATAGCGAGTAAGGTAGAAAGAGATAAATAATAAAGAAAATAATAAAACAGATGGGAAATGATACAACTTTGAAATCTTGATTCGAACACATTGAGACAACGGGGGTGCATTCTGTTCCAGAGCGAAGAGTCGTTATCGTCGGAGGGATCGGGCAGTTCAGCGGGCTCATCTGGATCATCGGAGGATTCGGGAAGTGAGGTGGCATGCGACATCACCCTCATCGAGAGACTCATCCGATCCCATCCGATTTGGTTTCTTCCTGGGATCCAGAGGGCTGGTGCCTTCCACTTGTTGCAGGGCAAGGAAGAGGGGGTGAGTATCGTCAGGAGACCTTGATTAGACCCTCAAATAATCGCATCCCTTTCGGTCTGATCCCATCCCTGTCTTCCTGTTACACACCGTCCCCCTCCGTGTCTCTTTTATACACTGGCCTATATAGTCGACTCAACCCTTGCAATCACTTCCTTCGATTCCCACCGCTGATCCCATTTTGGCTGAACTCGCCAATTCGATTTAGGTTATTTACGACAGTCTCCCTCTTCCTCCCCGCTCTCTCTCTCTCTCTCTCTCTCTCTTTCTCCTTAAAAGAACTCCCAGGTACCCACCAAGCAGTGGTAACTGCCATGTGCGCCAAATGAAATGGAGTCTCCGTCGCTTGGCAGTACCCTCGAGACATAGACTGAACTCGAGCGCAGGGGTCGCTGCCACCCGAAAGGGTTGAATTGCGTCGCAGCGTAGCACGCCGACTTTCTCCTTAAAAGAACTCCCAGGTAATTTTGGCTGAACTCGCCAATTCGATTTAGGTTATTTACGACAGTCTCCCTCTTCCTCCCCGCTCTCTCTCTCTCTCTCTCTCTCTCTTTCTCCTTAAAAGAACTCCCAGGTACCCACCAAGCAGTGGTAACTGCCATGTGCGCCAAATGAAATGGAGTCTCCGTCGCTTGGCAGTACCCTCGAGACATAGACTGAACTCGAGCGCAGGGGTCGCTGCCACCCGAAAGGGTTGAATTGCGTCGCAGCGTAGCACGCCGACTATTTGGCTGGAGCTGAGCGTCTGTTTAATACGCAGTAAACGTAATGGGCAATGAGACTCCTGAAATATGACGGTTCGATTCTTGGCGACTGTCCAATTCTCCAATCGGCAGAGTCATCGGTAGACTAGGTGCACTTTCTGAACTCTCTGAACTCCATGCACTTTGCATCTATATACTGCACTGTATGGGGGGAGGCCTTACAACCGGGTACCCATTAACTTCAACTATATCTAGGGACGTCATTTCTCTGCTCGTTTAGTTATACGGGATTCTTGGTACCGACAATGCGTTACGGATCTGCTACACTGTACTGGATGCATTAAGTCGATGCACCCGAGAAATTATTCTCAGTGGGAGGAAAGCAAATGGAAGAAAAAGAGAAAATGTAGACTGGTGTAATATTAGAGAACGACACCGTTTTCTAGATCGTCTGACTTCTATCGCGTTTGCCGACCTGTGAATAGGTCTCAGGTCCTTATCGTTGCTGGCGTAGCACAGTGTCGAGAGAGAAAAAAATAGATTCCTCTTGGCGATGCCAGCGTACGTGTGTGCACGTATGTATATGGCTTGGAAAACCGTGTCAATGCCTACGGTAATACATGCCACGTGAAAGCACCTCCTTTACAAGACAATGGACGGAATTGTGGGAAATCGTTTAACTTCGCGTTACGTAAACCGTATAGAAAATTTCCACTTGGCTGTGTCCGCCGAATCGCATTCGAATCGTAAATGGTATTTTCGAGAAATGAAAAATGAGGAAAAAAAAGAAAAAAAAACGTTCGGTTGTCATTTAAAAACGCAATCCAAGCGCAAGGAACATTTTACGAAAATAAAGCAAGCGAATCCGGACGAGTTTTCAGCATCCGTCATTATCGCCTACGTCCTTCGGATAACCATTTTTTCGCTAACTAAGCACAAAAGCTCTTGTAATCGGAATATCCATGGACGAGGATGAAGAGGGAGAAAGAGGAAATGAAAAATGAAGGAGGGACTGAGAGGAGGAAAGAAAGAGGCTTCGTCAGCCGAATGCTGCATTGTTTCACGAGCGGCGCATTGTTTTCCAGCTTTGTTAATTGTTATGTACCGTTACTCTACCCGCGCAACCCTTCGTACCAGCAATCACCACATAGCACAGCCATCCAGTCAAACCAGACGCCCAGTCAGCCACCCAGCCACCCAGCCACCCATCCGTCTATTTGACGTGTACTACATCCAGCCGCCTTTTCTATTCCGGAATAGTCAAATAGCTCGAGCTAAAAACAATGCTCCCTGTAATTAGTCTCCGTGTAGACGAGAGGATTGTTCTAGTGGATGAGGTACAGTTCCTGAGAGTGGACCCAGCTTTACTTTAAAGTATCTGAAACAATGCGCCCTGAATAGCCCTGGGAATACGTTGGAGTGTCATTTAAAATAATACGATGCAATTTGATTCTTTCAGAATTTCGTCGTACGTCAGTCCAGCCAGAGCGACACTATGGCTCTGTCCGTGAGACTCCCACCTGGAAAGGGTCCCTACATAGAGCACTATCTGATCCAGGCCAACAAGGGCAAGCTCAGCCTGGAGACCAGTGAGAATAGATTCGACAACATACCATCGTTGATCGCACATTATTCACAGTGCTGGTGAGTCCTGAAGTAGGGTGGAAATGGATTAACCAGTTGATTCAATCGTCTGGAGACTTCAATTTGTCGTTTATTCCTATTTTGGCAAGCAGTGACGAGTTACCGGTGCAGCTGACACTGCCAAGGGCTATGCGAGAGGCTAAGAACAGACAGCAACTCTCCTCCTTGGCGTTGCTCGGTCAAGAGTTCTGGAGGTATCCAATGGCGAATCCAAAGCCACCAGAAAGTAGCAGCAGCAACACGTCGAGTCTTAGTAGTTTTCATGGTGGTAAGTGTTATGAGTATAATAGTACTGTATATACATATAACTGTATTGCATGTTATTTTTATATAAAAGAATTTATATGCAGTGCTTGCGTTATCTGTCGTAGGTAACAACAATGCCAATACACCAACCACAGAGAGTATAGTACTCAACCTGGCCCCAATATCATCCCACGATACGAGTACGTATGTTGCTGAGAGTGAATCGCTTTTTTTTTTTTTCAAATATTTTTCTACCCTCTTTTTTCTCCTTTATTTAAACCAGCTCCATTGTATCTTGCTTCGTGGCCTGGTGGCCTCGTTTCCCTGTGAGCCCTTCGATCGGGATGCATCAAGAGGACGTTTTATTTAAAAGCCTTCTATTTTTAGGGTGCACGTCGCCGACGAATACCGTCACCACGTCCACCTTCGTATCGTCGCTGCCGCGTCAACCGCGACCAACACCACCAAATACCTTGAATCTCACGACGTTCAACGAGCCCCTTGATGCAAAGAAGGATAGGTTGGATAAGATGTCACCTGGGGAGAAGCTGTCGCAGAAGCTGATATCCCCCAATCTCGTACAGAGTGTACGCTGTCCCTCGCCTGTAGTGCATAACGTTGAGAGTAACGTTCTCAGTCCCACGGAGTCGAGAATGAATTTTGAGACGTCGAGGATGAACTTTGAGACGTCGAGGACCATCGTCGATACCTCCAAGAGCTCCGTCATCGAGTTCTCCAGGAGTAACAAGTTTAGCTCGAGTACCCCGACGTCGAACTTTCAACAGAATATATCGAATTTTAATAATCAATCCGGTACTAACTCGCCTCTGATCACTGAGGTCAGGAACACCATCCTGGAGAATCAAATACTCGGGCAGAATGTCAAGACTCCACCACCTCCTCCGCCTAGATGGGCTAAACCTGGGATTAGTCAGAGCCAGAGCAACTTCACGGTTACTACTACTGTCACCTTTAATGTTAATCAGAGCAATGAAGTCTCCAGTTCTCAGGTAAGAATCTATTTTTTATCTTAAAGATTATTTGATTACGCTTGGACTGTTCTTTATTAATTAGAATTATTGTTCTTTTTATTGTAGCAAAATACACCGTCGGATGCGAACACGTCGCTGCTGAGTCCACAGAGCATCACGTCGACCAAGTCTTTGACTTCAAATTTGTCAAACAAGTCACCCCTATCACCAACCACGCCCGTATTATCTCCTACCTCGAAGCTAGTCTCGAACGTCGGTATTAAGACGCCAAACGTCTTGTCGCCAACGACGCCGTCAGGTACGAGCAAGTCAAAGCGTCGTCGAGACCGCGAGGCCAGGAAGAATTCGCAGCACTATCAAGAGTCTGACATCCTGGAGTCCTACTACAGGAGCTCTCCCGGCGATAAGATATCGGACTACGAAGATATCTGGAACACTACCGATCAGTCAAATCATTCAACCTGGTCGCCTAATGATAAATTGTCGCGTAATGATGTAGCCAGTAATTCTCAAGATCGGTTGAGAAATTCTAATGACCGTTTGGTAACTCAGGAACGCGTCGTGAGTCCCGCCTGCCCGAACGACAGGCTCGTTGGGAACGACCGTTTCATCTTGAGAAACGACAAGAGCACGGCGAACGAGAAGCTCAGTTACAAGGAGATAACGAGTCCTGAGTTCAGCAGTTTTAAACCCGTTCTTGATCTCAAAAGTCCGGAGGCTGGGTCACCGGAGGAGACAGGAATGGGAAGGAGACCCGATTTGTTATCGCGAGTGTGTAAGTATATATTTTTTTACATTCTTTCTTCTCAACCTCGGTGATAAATTTCTAAACAGAATGTTTCAATGTATTACAGGCAGCGCCAATTCTCTGAACAATCCGAATACCATGACACCACCTAGAAACAAACTGGGTTTAATTCTCACTAAATCAGAGAGTAACAGCCCCTTGACACCGGAATCAAAACAGGGTAGTCCTTTCTACGCGGAACCGGCGGACGCCATTGCTCAGAGTACAGCAATAATACCAAGGAGACGTCCCAGAAATAACCCAGTATCCAGTAAATATAGACACAGTGAACCTGGTTGGCTACAAACACCAGTTGGTACGAATACCAACCAACTTCATCCAATTGATTGGGACGAGTCTGAGGAAACCGAAGACAAAACACCTCTTATATCATCCTCCGTGGACAACTTAGCTAAACGCCTAGGAACGCGCGAGGTGAAAAAAATTCCCAGAGCCAAACCCGTTCAGCCCCCAAAGGTCAGGCTCAAAGTATTCAACGACACATCTTGGGCTGTCGATTCCAGCTGGGAGTTCATTGGTATATATCAAGCAACACCCTTTGAAGATCCTGGCGACTGTCCAATTCCGGTTTTATAAAATTTATTATTTTGCTCCAGGAAACGAGGGTGACGATTGCGAACCTGATTACGACTGCGATGCCGATTACGAGGGCGACAGTGCGGCTAGAAAATTCCCAGACGAAGAATGCGAAAAGGACGTCATTGGCAATACCTTGACCGTTCAGAGTATCATACTGCAACGGTAAGTTCAGCCGAACGGAATAACAGTACAAAGACACCAATAGGATACTATAAGAGCATGAATTCTTAAAGGTACCCTGAATTATTGAAGCCACCGGATACTTTGGATCCTCTTCATAGCGACAGGAACTCTTCGTATGACAACGTGGAGAAAAGAAACGAAAGAGAGGATACTCCCGACACAAAAAAGGATCAAGCCTATGATCCATCCGAGTGGGAAACAATGTTGGAGACTGACGAAAGCGACGTGGAACGCGTCAAAAGGAACAAAAGCTTCAAGGAACGACTTGATCCATTGCTTTGTAAGTACATACATTTTCTCTTTTGCCTAGGAGTTCTAATAAATTACACGTTTACAGCTGGAATGTCAAAGAAATTATACTTCTAGATGTAGGTTTATGTTAATTAAGCAAATTGCGCAACGGGCAGCTTGCGTAACTTTGAACGTGCCTATTGCGCATTATTGTCCTACGCAATTACCAAGGCTGTCACTGATAAATCTTGAGCATCGTTTTGATTCGTTACAACAAGTTGATTTCTGGAGATCCGAGCAGAGGACCCCAGCAGCCGCAAGACCGAGGATAAAAACCTGTTGAACAGCAAAGAATATGGAAAATCGTACCAAGTATTAAGAAAAGTGCGGAAGATCAACCTCCGATTCAAAGGGCACGAACTACCATGACTGTAGCCAACTTTCCTTGGGGAACACGCAGCCCCCCTCATGGGGACGTCTGGCAAGGCCATATTGTAGCCAGAACTTCAACCCAACCCACTGAGCAAGCTTACCGAATGAGATTGACGGGCAACTCTCTTGCAACGCGGTCTACGTGCAGTACTGCTCTCATTTTATCAACTATATACAGGGTGTTCTACAACGCACTAATTAAAAATAAATAATAGATCAAATTACCCAAACAACGCTCGTACAGACGGGACATCGTTCAGAGTGCTAGTCTACTACTACTACGCATTCCGGATAAACTTTCGGGGTCACCACTGCTGACGCAGCACTCATTGCTTAGAGCCATCTCGTAATATTTTCAAACAAATTCATTAAATAACGAACAACTTTAATCACTCTGTATAAATGAAAAACGATCGCTAAAGAATTATAGTTAGGCAGAGAATATAACAAATAATAAAACCAAAATAAGAAAGAGAAATAAATTAGTAAAACTTGTGCGTCAAAGAGTCTGATAAAGAGGCCAGCTGTTGAAAGAACGAGAGCTCTGAACTGATTCATCCTCTACGTAGGTGTCAGTGCCACTACATTTGAGCACTACCCAGCGAGTACTTGCCAGAAAACTGATAACAATTATTCGCCTTTTCCATACATCGTGATATCAATTTTTCACAGTCGAACAGAACGGATAATTATGTCGGTTAAGGGGGTCACCTATTTACTTATTTCGCCACTTATTTTTATTGGTCTACTTGTTGTCATTGAAATATTTTTTCCACTTGTAACGAAATTCGATAAGGATATTAGTGTGTAAATAATGGCGGGTCATTTGTCGCATAATCAGCACTCTTACAACGTAAACTCGATACTACTTTGTTTTGGAAAACTTGTGAACGGAGAATTTTAGGCAAATAGGGTATTTTGTGAGTCACGAAATGAGAAAGCAAAAAAGAACCTCGGGCAATCTTTTGGAAAATAACATTTTGTGAATTTACTGATTAAACCAAGCAAATAGATAATCAAAGTTATTTATTTCTTAAATTCACTGTTCCGTATGTTTTGACTTCGAACGACGTAACAACGTATTCAGTTATTTAAAAAAGTCAATTGATACTTTTTTTTTTTTTGAATTATTCATAAATTTTAAATTTTATCAATTGCACGACTTATTCACTGCAGCGCACTTTCCCACGCTTTGGCGAGTTCGACTTCGATTTTATGTGTTTAGGTTTACTTTATTGACTGTATGATGTAACATTCACTTCCTAGAGTAGAGAATGACTTTTGTTATATTGAAATTTTATATGCGACGAGATTAAAGTTCAATCTTTCAAAGATAGAGACTCTTGATAGTCGTATTTTTTTTAAGTGGCAAATAATCTAGCCAATGATTCCCGTTGGATCGTTCACTATCATTGAATAAGGTCGAATCAATCACAAAGAATATGCTATATTTTTTTTTTAATTTAGCAATATACATCGTTACGACCTTCTGAACTATGAGGGACAGTTTCAGGTAGATCAGTAACAACCATAAAGTTAATGGCCAATACCATAAAGATCATTCTAGGTAAATCGACCTCACAAATTGAACTTTTGATTCTTCCCTTGGGAACAACAGTGCGTCCCTAACCATCAAAAAGTAGACCATATAATAGCCATATCCTTTTATATCTGAGCAATCCCGCTAAAACTGTAACGTCCCCTTTGAAAAAGGCGCCGGAACGTCGGGCGCCTCCAACTTCAATTTGCCTTGTTAATAATGACCCCACAGACACAAACAGGTTCTACCCATACAAATAATACTTACCACATAGGTTAAGTAGTATTAATACCTATCAGTACACTTTATGATCGACAAGATTAACTTCGTCCATTTTTATTTCCTTATTCAACATCATAAATATACAACCGTACCGTAATATACGTATGAATTCTCTCACTTAATAAGATTATATTCCGATTGTCATTAGTATCTCCAAAAATGGACCTGGTAACTAAAATTTTTTTCAAAATTTAAAAAGTCGATTCCCAATTTCTAATTATAATATAAATTACGGCATGGTTTTACTCCACAAGTATATTAAGTATTAGAGTATATTTCTGAAAAACTGATTAACCGATGCACAATCAACAATATTTTGTCTTCTTATCCACATTGGTTTCTATATACCTAGACAAAGTGGACAATGAACGTTTGTTTGTAAAGATTATCGATATTTGTCACTGATGTTGAAGCATCTGCTGCTGCCTGAGACCAGAATAAGAGCCGACCTCACCGCACTCCTCCAGACCATCATTCCGCCACTCGACCGCATCCTACGTCGTCACCCGCGTACTGCAGGCTACACTCATGTTCTAAAGTGCAACAGATAGAGAAGTTCCTGCTATTTATTGCTCGATTACCTTCACGAGATTTTCAACGACTTCTACTCGCTGACAGTTTCGAACTGTTACTCGAGTCGGTGCAGTTATAACGTTCACAGTTTGACGACCCATAATTTCACTTCCATCCGAGCTCCTTTATCCCACTACGGCCACTTGACAATCCAGAGGGTGCAAGTTTACTAGCGTAACCGCTGCACCTTCGTGAGTTCAGTAAGACAACCATCTTTGTGAAGTGAAGACGTTGGCTTTATTAATTCCTGATCGAGTTTATAAAGCTCAATTCACAGTGACGATCGCAGCTTGTGAATATATTATTTAATAGTACTTCAATAATTTTATTATTAATGACCGTGATCGCGTTACAGTATATACGTAGAATGTCTACAAAATATCGTGGAGTCTTCATTGACAGATTAGAGCTAGCCTAATCTATGACAGTAAAACACTTCTTCTTTGACAGATGAAGACCTAAGAGCTTTAATTAATTTAATACAGGATCGTTACTTAATTTCAATCTACTTAAGTCCCACTGAGCTTAAACTCGACGGCAGTTTTTGTAATTAGTGTCTCACCGTGATAATGGAACTAGGAACGTCGCTCGTGGTTGACTGCACCTTTGAAATGTGTCCAAGACATAAGAGATTTTGCCTCAGGACAAGGCGGGCTTTTGGAAAGATTGGAAAGTGGTTTCAGAATGTCTGCAGGAAAATTAAAAGGACCTGGGTCATTGTTGTTAAATGTAAGAGGAGAATCTTTTTCAAGTGTTTCGTTTGACGAAGATACTTTGGAAGATTATAATAAAGTTACTACGTTTATTTTAATAAAATATTTTTTTTCTGTTTCACAGCTCCACCTAGACTCCAAGCTCTGAGGAATCGTGACGCTGCTGGAACAGGATCCACCATAAGAGCCTATGCGCTGCAATTGGCTGCTGATAAGACGACCACCTTTTCGCAGAACATTGATAACTTTATCCAGTGCACGAAGGAGGGTAAAGAAGCCAGTCCTCACGTGGTGATGAGGAACATGAGACAATTCATGTCAGGGATGAAGAACTACCTGGTGAAACATGGCGAGAGAGAATTTGAGAAGGAAGTGGAGAAAGAGAGGCTCAAGCTGAAGCATAACGAATTTCTCAATCTGGACGCCATACTCGAAGGAGTCATGATGGGCCTGGTTGTACGTCCTCTACGGGAACACGTCTATAGACTCTTCGTCGACCATTATGCTACCACTGGTTCACTTCATACACTGGCAGACAGCATTCAGTATGCCCAGGGTAAACACGTTCAGGATCTGGGAGTTCGGGTATGTATTTTCAGATACCGTAATACGAATTATACCTTCCTGATACGTTCCTCGAGTTCAAAGTTTAATATCATTATCAGCCGAAGATCATTCCACCCTCGGAATCGAGTCTTGATCGTATCCTGAGGTACATAGATCGTCTCCAAAAGGCAGACTCACCCTTGGACAAGCTTGAGAATCTGCTGGCAGCTTTTTCAACCATTTTTAATTCAGTAAGTGACAGCACAGTCTCAATATCATTTCTTATTAACGTCTCATACATAATATATCTATTCAATTACCAGGTTAAGCATGCGAATTCTGGAAGACACGTAACCCTTGGCGCCGACGATTTACTACCCTTACTGGTATGGGTCCTAGTACGCGGTAGAGTAGTAGGCGCTGAAGTAGAAGCGGAGTATATGTGGGGCCTTCTTCATCCCTCTCTCTTAACCGGTGAAGGGGGTTACTACTTGACAACCCTATCGAGCGCAGTTCACGTTCTGAAGACATTTAAATCCAGCCAGGGAACAATGTCTACGTTAAACGTGAGTAATTCCAGAGAGCCAAGCTTCTGAGTGCCAGGTAGCAGCACGAAGGAGAACACTCTAGTCGTGTTCTTCGTGTCTGCAATATCATTTTGAACTCTCATTTCCGGTTTATTTTTAGGGCTGCGGAACTCCGGACTGCTCTTCGGTTCTTCGTGTCCTCGTGCCGGATGAGCTGCACGGTTCTCTAAATACCAGGACGCTTCCCGTCAGGCCAAACATGAACACCCGCGACATATGTAGGATCCTCGCGCACAAAATCAGATGTACGAATCCCCAGGACTACGGACTTTTCAAGCTGGTGCAAGGCGAGGGTAAGGAAACACGACTTGTAGTCACTGATAATCGCGACGAGAGCAGAGAAAAGGCTAGAATTCGATTTCTCGAATTGGCAGAGACACTACTTGGCGATCACGAGTGCCCCCAGGAACTATCTCACTGCCTTTTCGCGTACAAGAGGATCGACGCCAAGATAGCCTGGCCGAGGACGAGCTCCTGAATAGGATACTAAAGGCAATGACCAGCCATCGGCCATTTCGTCTCCCTATCTCTTTCTTTCTGTCTCTATATCTCTCAGTGCATTTAACGAATCCAAACGTGATTTAAGGTTAGTATTGTTAAGGTACATTTAAGAGGTGATTGGCCTGGGAGACCTGAAAAATCCTAAAGAGTCCAGCTGTTTCTATTATCTTGTCAAGTATGGCGCCTGGCTACTCTATTGGGCACAATACTATATAATATATTTACCCAGGCCTTATCGTAATCTTACACGAAAATATCTAAGGGTTAGATGTTCGCGAGTTGTATGTCTTCGTTATAAGAGGCGCATTAAGTAATAAGAATAATACGGTAAGTATTTATCAACTGGACGATTAGTGATAACGTGAAATTCGATAATCTAGAGATCCGCTTTCACTGTTACCCGCGAAACAATTAACCTCAATTCACTACCATCGCGGTCGTCTTTAACATGCAATAATAATAATGATAATCCGTAACCTAATTAATCACCTCGTTAACGTTTCCAACGAAGCCGATCGGACGCCAGTCTCTTTGAAGATTTACCCGCGTATTTATCAAAGTCCTATGAGGGATTCATTTGCAACCAGGTTTGAAATTTCTTGTTAATACGATCTTTTTTTAAATCAAAAAATTAGAATTAAGCATCGAATTAATTGTGGATACAATAAAACTTCTGTCTTGCCAAACTCATCTAGATCCCACGTATACCACTAGCCTCTCACCCGTTATACCAACATGGGAATAAATGAATTTACTGTATTGCAATGTTCGGTGCGAATAAGATTTTATAGTGAAGACTTCTTTCGAAATCACTGCCAAAGTAATAAAAATGAATAATGCAAGGCAGACGCGGTTCGATCTCATGCCTGGATATCTATGTTTTTAATGGAAAATAAGGAAGATGAGACAAAGAGAAAAACAAAACAAGAAAATAAAAATGAATTCCTCCCACCTTCCCCGTATGTTAATCAGTATTTAAGATTACGTGAACTTTTACAAGTACGAGCGACGCAATTAATTAGCTGCGTTTATAAAAAGACGCCGACTGGGCAATCGAGCTGATAGTAACGACTGTCGCAATTTCTTTTTTCTTTCAATTCAATTGCAGAAGCGCGAGTGCGTATCAGCAAAGTTAGTTTTGATAGGCGGACGATTACCTTTGTCTGACACTCACGTGACTATGATATAGAAATGATAGTCATTGGGGTTATGTTGATTGTCCTTGATGATAATTCGTAATCGCCGATAGACGCGTGCTTGACAGTCACTGACAGTTATGAAAAGTCTCCTGTATAAGAGGCAACTGGTTTTCACTTGATTTTTATCAGTGAGTAGTCGACGATGGGAATATACCACGGTTAATCGGTGAGACCGTCAAGGCGTTGGGACGTCTATCCATCTCGGTGCCCAGATTCGGTCGTGCGTGAAAATCCTCTACAATTTTTCTATAATCGAGTAAAATGAAATTCGTAGAAAATTTTCATAACACAAAATTCTATAACGTAGACGGTTTACGAGAATGCTAGCTTAGGATTCTATTTTAAGTACTTTTTACGAGAGCGCGGTGGAAAATATTATAATGGATAAGCGGAACTGTATTTTACGCAAAAGCACTTGTATTTATTCGACAGTTGTATACATTTCTTTTGTTTTATTCTTTTCCTCGTTTTTTTTCTCTCACTCTTCCTATCGTCCCTTGCGATTCAAGCCGCGGATTTCCTATACCAAATGATTTGAAGTTTCGAAACTTTTTATCCACGATTATACATTTTCCTTTTACAGCTAACGCGCATGCGCCTACAGACTGATTCTCTAATGTTTTATCCTTTAGCCACTCCAAGCGATCATTTAGTATCGAGTTAGGCGGACAGGGGTGTACACACAGGGTGGTTGCAATTTAATTGGGAAATCAGTCTGGGCTTCTGCATTTTATTAGCGATCGGGAACGACCATGATGAATAACGGTAAATAACAATACCCGCTTAGATATTGTACATTTTTTTGTAATTTAATTTATTAAAACTGTTCGACTACCCTGTTTTTTTTTTAAAGATTATTGTCTATATCATTGTCGTGCTTCGTTCTCTATTTTTCCAATTAATATGATTAATTGTAATTTTAATGCTTCTATGCTAGTCAAGCCGATGCGAATGAAAAAAATTGTAACTCCGTTTTAACATAATTTCTACAATAGCTTTTTTTTTCTCTGATTGGATAGATCAGCATCTCTTATTATTATTTAACCTCAACCCACTATCATTATTTCTCATCGTTATTATTATTATTGTAACATGTAACTCTATGCTCAATAAACACTTTTCTATAATTCGAAAAATAAGAGCCTGTTCATTCACATTCTTCTTAACTAGGAGAGCATATACCTACCATTACCTACGTGGACTTCATTAAAACCACTTAGATCAATCAGATGAATTCACTGCGCCATATAAATGGCTTATAATGAAAATTTACTGTCTCATAAAATGTACCGTTAGTTTAACCAGGTACTGCAGCCGAAAGAATTATCGGTTCGGTTACGGTATTCGCAATGGTAAAAGCTTGAATTTCGGTTTTAGTTTTGGGTTTTTCATTAATCCTTTATCGGTTTTAAGTAATTTGTGACCAACAAAAAATTTGGCATCGATTGCACGCCAAAGAAAAGTTATTTTTGTGAAAAATAAGACTTTTGGGGCTAACTTCACATTCCAAATTTTATTTTCCATTTTCAATAAAAAAATGAGCAGCCAACAAATTGTCTAATTGTTCCAAAAAAAAAATCAACAATTTGTTAGCAAAAGAGAAAGTTCAAAAAGTAAATGTTACAGTACTAACTTCACGTAGGTATGGCACTTCATCTCTGTTTTTGGTATCGCCTAATACCGTAGCATTGTGCATCTCCCGATTCATCTTTGTGGCACTCTAAAGCGCGTGCATTCCTGATGTCGACGCGCCACCTGGACGGAGGAGCCTCGAATCAACCCCAGTTTGTGATTGGTCGAACGTATACTCTAAGGAAACCCCAAACGTGGGTAATAACAGAAATATGTTTCCCGATTTTTTACCATCATAATGAACAGCACACGTTTATAGTGCCAACCGTTAGCGAACAGAATTCGAGAGTCGGTTATTAATTTTTTTCATATTGATCCGTTGACTATGCTCATTGGTTTTATTAATTACCTTAGGATTTAATAAATATATGATTATATTTTACTATGTACATTTTATTATATTATATACATACAATAAATAGATAAATCAGCGAGCATTTCTTCTTCCTGAGAGCTTGCGAGTGACAAACCGGGCAGATGAACATGAGTGCAGGTCGGAAATAAGTATTTGAACTCGAGAACCCTGGCCGCTAATATCACAAGGGTAAGTCGCTCGGCAGATGCGATTATTTTGGATAATCTAGCCCTTGATTTTTGGGTTAGTGTTCATTTTTATGGCACACATCGAAACTGTCAAAATATTTGACCGGCCGACGTTATTACTAGATTTGGACGCGGAAACGAGGGGGAAACCTAAACCGAGGGTGCCCTACTTGGGATGGGACATACGGTATACATACTCGATCAATCAAAAACGTGGATATGGCTCGATGGCCCTCCGCTCATTTGACGCATCGACGCCGAAACAAAATCAGTTTCAAGAAAATCGGCTCACTGACAATCTTCCTATGCATCTCTACTATTATGAATAAAAGACGTTCGAGTCAACAGTTTCAGTTTCAGTTTTCCACTGTAGCAGTTTCAGGTTCCCGTTACTACGACTTTAGGTATAACATTTATAAAATTTCAGTGGTTACTGTTTCGGTTCCTTATTTTTTTGGGTTATTATTGGTTATCCATTTTGGTTTCAGTTAAGATTACGGACCCTGGTTTAAACTGAATTTATGTCATCTGTTGGTAAAGTAGAGCACGGTAATGTTCATACTTGCAACAGACTTCACTAGACGTCGCTCTATGTACTTCCGAAATTCACAGTAGAGAGATCAGTAAACAAAAACGCAATGTTTCAAGATGGAATATTTATCATATGTTTATTTCTCAATTTCTGAACTAGTAGTATACGGAATGCGTACATGGTGACAGAATACAATTTATACTGTTGAACTACCTACTAATATTCATGATGCGACGTTCAAAATGGAAGATGCTGTTCCACCTACAGATGATCCACCAAAGATTTACCTTATCTGCAAGTGACAGAAGTACAGTAGTTTATTAACCTTTATAATAAAATACAAAACGAAACAAAATTTCTACGCTAATATACTTTACAAAATACAATACACCAATTATACTCACCTAAAACTATTGTAGTACCATAAAACAAAGATTTCGTCCTTCATCATTGCTCTACTCGTTTGCAGCGCTGTTAATGACCAGCAGTCGGATATCAGAAATTGCTAGTCCAAGTCACAACGTTAATTCAAATTCCAAGACCCACTTTATCAGTACCATCAACGATCATCCTTATCATACCTGTCAAATTGGAAAGTGGCATCCAAAAACAAAATTCAAAAAGACCGGGAGCAATTTTTCTCACAAAAACCTATCATACTTGCACACACAATCCATATACAAGGTAGGGCATTTATAGTGACTAGGTCGATATTTTCGGAAACGAAGCCAGATATAAAAAAATATTTCAGACAGAAGTTGTAAGGTTTCAAGGGGGATGAAAGGTTCCATTATTGAATTCTTCCTGAGAGCAGGCCTTAATGTAATTCGAAGGTCAACTTTCATCTCTTCAATGAGATAATGCATGTTTTCTTCGGGAAATGAAAAGAACATTTTCATTCTAGATAGGCCAGGATATTTTTCCTTAATTTTTAAAAATATCTTATGACCTGGAAAATTTGGGTCATTAGTATACTTTTACTTTTAGATTCAAAATTGAATGCTCTTTTTATTTCCGGAAGAAAAATGGCACGATCCCATTGAAAAGATGAAAGTTGACCGTCGAATTACATTAACACCTGCACTCAAGAAGGAATTCAATAACGGAATCTACCATTCTGCTCGGAACCCTACAACTGTTGTCTGAAAAATTTTTTTATATCTGACATTGTTTTCGAAAAAATTGACCTAATCACTATAAATTCCCTACCCTGTATACAGAGGTTATCAACTAAGTTGGCTAAGTCGCACCTTTGCGGTTAGTGGTGAAACAATACACAATTTTGAAAATCTGATGTGACAACCATTGAATAATTTTGGATTGCCCATCGAAAGCGCATATTCGTTTAATTTCCGTTCGAAATGAACAAACGCATCTGCGATAGAACGTAAGGCTGCTAAAGCTACTAAGGCTACAAAGGCTGTTAACATTACTAAGGCTGCCACCAGGAATACCTAGACTCTAAAATCTATAGCGGAGAACACAGACTCCAAAATGGGATAAAAAGAATAACATTGCAATACGTTTTAGCCACCGTGTACAAATTTCCATCTGACTGACCGCGCACTCAAACAGTTGCGAATTTGCATGTTCAGCGTGAAGCTACTGAACGCAGATAAGACGTTCCGCCAGGATCGGAAATCTTTCAAAAGGTTAACAAATTTCGAACGCAAATACCTTCCTCGTTGTGCATGCTATTCATATACATTTTTTTCATCTCTATTCTTTTTTCCTGTTTCATCACTTTTACATTTAACTTTTTTCGCTATCATTTTAATTAGCAAAGACAATGATTTCGATTGCGAACGGAAATTAAACGAGCAACAATAATATGCGCAATCGACGAGCAATCAAAAAACATTCAATGGCTGTCAAATCAGATTTTAAAAATCGTACACAGTTTCACCGCAAAGCGCAAACATGCATCTCAGCTGATACACTCTGTATATAGGTATATCTAATCACATTTATTACGCCACAATACAGAACGGTACACTTAATAATTTAATCGAGCTAATTATAATCGTAATACAATAGCAATCGATTAGTTCAACTATGATCTGGAGGTATAAATAGCACACTCATCGTGACGTCGCGTACATCCTACATACAATAATTAACGAGCGACAACAATTAGACGGTCGTCGGTAAATTTTCGTTTATCAACGGGCGCAGCAGTAGTAGCGTCGCCGTCGGTAGCGGCAGTAGCGGCAGGAGCAGCAAGAGGTTTCTTGGCATAGTAGACGCATACGGATAATAAAGCAGCGTCCCGACGGAGGATACAAATTGACAATAAAAAATAAGTAAACAAAGGAATCCATCCAGCTACCGACAAGACAAGGGATATAATCGTCGCTCCAAAAGATTGTAAAACGAACGACGAAACGAATCATAAATTACGGATGCATTGTGTTCGTATACCGCGACGCGAGACGTCGCGGCGCAGACGGAATACGCACGGTAAACGTATAGGTATAACCGTCCCCCATTACGCTAATCGCCAATAGATGGTAATAACCTCTGTGTTCTTAATATAGCGCTAACTTAATTAAATACATTCTATACATACAGTTATAGGCTGCCCATGGCACTCGGCAAAGTTCGGCATGCTTCGGCACGCTTCGTTATTTCACTGTGCAATTCACGGTTTCGCTTACACCTGCGTTCAAACTTTTACTTGCGTTTAATGCACGCGTCTGGTGAATCCGATTACTGTCGATGCTTGCCGAAGTACACCGAATTCCTTTATCCCAAGGGATATTCGATACTCCTGCACTATCGCATGCACTCTTTCTCTTTTTTTCATTCGTTTTGTTTTTTTAATACGCATTGTCACATCCTAACGCGCGAGTAAGCGAGTAAATAAGTCAATTTTAGCTCTATAACTTGGGGAAGATTCTCGATTGCCTATCATCCGAATTAACTCTGCTTACTTGATGTCCGGTTAACAATTAATTCTTTCTTTCGTTCAATTCCGGGATATCCTGACAGGACGATCGTTCACAAAAGACTGTTTAAGATATAATAATGCATGATCAGCCTGTTATATTTTATGTCTTAATCTCTTAATACTGTTTATATCTGTACAAGATCCGCGTTTCTATCATCTTGGCAAAGAAGAATAGGAACAAGGAGTACAAAGTGAATCAAGTAAATTTCAATAGAGACAATAAGAAAAAAGGAATACAATGTTTTAAATGTGTATCTAACAGAACTTAAAGAAGATCGAACGATCGTCCTGATCATTCATAATCGTTATATTATATAATTCATCGAAAAGAATACGCATTCTCTCCAGCAATGTTATAACGCGCCGATGCGCAATGACTTATAGCCTCTATATCCTACATACGTTAAAATCTAGAAAAATCTTTTATAATTTATATAGAAAATGTACAAGAAAATCTACATTAACGAACGCATATTTATAGTAGACGAACGGGTATCGTGTTAACGGGTGACGCTCGTCGTGACGCTCGCGAGTGATTGAGGAGGAATAAATAAATAAGAGGAAGCTTTGTGCCATTTACAGTCGTAGTCGGTTGTAACGCATAGCGCCGCGGCGCCTGCGTCGTACGTCACGTCAGGCCACATAGGACCGATAAAGGTTCGCGGTTTCCCATACGATGCCTAGACAAGCAGGGTTGGGCAATTAATCGCAATTTGCTGTTCTTCGGCTTAGCCATAAAAAATCTAAATAAAATTATTTCTCTCTCTCTCTCTCTCTCTCTCTCTCTCTCTCTCTTTATTTTTATATCTTTATCTCTATCGTTCTGAAATATCTTGAAACTTTTCTTTCTCAAATTCTCCAAAGACACTTTGACCGAAAATATAATTAGATAAAGCGCAGAAACATTCGAAAAAGAAAGAAGAAAAATGAAGTAAAAAAAAAAGGTAAGAAAAGATAACAAAAACGATAGAGATTCAAAGATACGAAAATTTTCTAATTTTTCTTTCTTCTTTCATCTCACGTGCCTCCACACGTGGCCAAGTGAGGTACGGCGCGCGAGCCCGTGGCGAATAAAATGAAAAATTAAAAAAAAAAAAGATCTAGACGGCCAATGGCTGCCGGCTATCCGAGTCCGTCCCTCCATCGATTGAGTTCCCGCTGTCCATTCAATGACAGGATCTTGCTCTCCGATGAAAGCGACGCATCCTGCGATGCCACTCTTCGCGCCATTCGATGACGATTGATCTTTGAGTGACAGTGATGCCACTCTGGCCACCGCCGTCGCTCTCCTGCCCAAGAATCAGGTACGACCTGGTGAAAAAATAGAAAAAATCAAATTTTCAATCGCACACAAATTCCTACAGATCAGTTCACACGTGCCCTCTCAAGAATATATTGCTTTCGCGGCACAAATACAGCGAATAGCCAATGTAAATGACGCCTATACTTCTCCACACGCAACGGCCCAAGCGTCGAGACATTTATCGAGTGATTATAGTCGCTCCTATAGACACGCGTCTTACAACCGCCCGCCTCCATATCCCCACCGCCTGTACCGTCCCATCTAGATGCAAGATGCTCACTGGGTAATAAAAACCCATGGAATATCGCGTTAAAATAAAGAAACTGCTCGTCGCGGCACCAAAGTGTCCCATAAAAAGAGTGTATATACCAGACAGGTGCGGATTGCCATAAGACAGAAAAAACGAGTCACCCGGTTTATCCAAAGACGCGACCGACACTTCATCCAGTTAACAAATTAACCAGCCAGCATCCTTACCATCTATATTAATCCCGTGGACGGATGATGCATTTAAACACACTGAACTCGTTGAGGTTAAAACTTGAGAATAGTCAAGATGGACGCTTACTTGTTGGGCTTGATCTTGGGGCATCTGCAGGCGAGATCAGCCGAGTGCACGTACAGGGTCATAGGTCCCCGACGAAGCCTTGAATCCTGGGACCTTTTATAAACGGACTCGACGTACAGGCTGAATCGAATCCAGGTGGTACCTGGCACATTGCTACCAGGTTGTGCACCGCCTTCGGTCTTCTTGTGCCTCTCCGCGACTCTCACGAGGATAGCTACGAACAAGACGAGATCGGAGATTCAAGGTTACAAGATCAATTAATCAAGATGATCGACGTTGGTTCGCGCGACCTATTCGCCTGGTTCACTTGTGTATTTCATTCGATTGCGCAATTCTCAAGTAGCGACATCGGTCCCATAAGTCCCCGCGAATTCATCTGACGTCAGACAATTCTCTACCCGAATGGCTGACCCCTTCTTAATCAATGATTCATTGTCATGCCATCTTGTTACCATGGCTTTTACCCAAAATAAATAAATCCAATCTAAATCTCCGAGCAACCAGATAGAAGCTTCGTACGCTTTGACCATACGTCACGCTCGCTCTTCCGCTCTCTCGCTCTCTCCCTCTGAACTTTCAGTCTTGTTTCGATCTCAGAAAACCCTCAGGCTATTCTAAGGTCGACAGCTAACTGCAGACCCGTAGAGATTTATCTGCCCTGAATCAACCTCATACACGTTACCCACGTTAACCCTCAAAAGCATACCGTAGCTATTATTATTGAATCTACTTCCCGAAACAGCCTCCCGCTGCCACCCCTAACGTTCGCCACTGGCAATCAAACGCTCATTAGCCTTTAATCCCAGCTGAACGTAAAATAATAACAAGCACGATACAAACCATAGTCCCGCTTGCAGTACTTGTTCAGGTTGAGACGTCGCGTACTGGCTCGACACTTTCCGCACTGATCTGAAACAGCATTGGAGAACAGATCAGTAGAATACAGAATCCGTGGTACCAGGTGGTACAATACGTTGCGTAATGATAAGCCACCATACACCGACAGCTTAACACATCATATATACATATACAGCGATGCAGCATCCCTGCACCGTAAGCCGGACCGCAATGATCTTCTAATGATTTTCCTTTGCCAGAACTGGACCACTCAGCATCATCCATTACTCTCCATCATACACGCCATATCTATTGTTTATAACCGTACAGCATCCCTGTATCTATGTGGATACTGTACGCCTTGCATCTCTCAAAGATACATAGGACGCATCTCCAAATCTGCCTCCACGTATCACACACACTCTCTCTCTCTCTCTCTCTCTCCCTCTAAGCCCCTTCTCCTATCTCTCTGTCTCTCAAAGATACATAGGACGCATCTCCAAATCTGCCTCCACGTATCACACACACTCTCTCTCTCTCTCTCTCTCTCCCTCTAAGCCCCTTCTCCTATCTCTCTGACGTATGTGTACATACGTATATGGCACACTACATATACATATGACTACCTCGCCTCGGATCCATGTGCTCAATTAATTCCCCCAGCAATATGTTACACGTCGCAGCGCAGCATCCCTAACAGTCGGTACAGGCTCTATATGTCGCTCGGTAACCCTGATTCGATATGACGCGCTAATGCTGACTGCGCCGTTGCGAATTTACCCTTCTACCCTTTATACGCGGGATACGTAGTGGCAATCCACGGTTTGGGTTTCACAATAGCAGCCACCACCAGCTCACGAATTTCTCTGTGCCCTCTCTTAGGTCTATTTCGTAATGATCGTCAGCTCCCTTGGCATCCGTCAAAACTGGTTGCAACGGACTGCCTCAATGATTTAGTGTCGGTAAGTACTGTTGCGGTTAATGGTTGGTAAAGAAACGGACCCCTTCACCGGGTCTCGCTGTTATCCTTCCATTCGAGAACTCATACTAATATCTCTCCTCGGATGTCTTCCACGTCCAGTGGCTAATCATACGGAGGACTAACACATGGGCTCGTACGCTAGACTCTCCTAAGAGGCTTTGATGATTAATTATCCGTCTAATATGGCTTTACCTCTCTCTCTCTCTCTCGTTTACTTCTTTCTTTCAACGTGTCTCAGGAACGTTTGTTACTTCGAAGTGGCTGTGCCATTGGTGCCTAAACACATGGCGAGGGGTACGCGTGATATAACTGTGGGTTCGCGTAAGAGAGAAAATTACACTGGAGACATGTTCCCATTCATAAAGTTCGTATTCTATGCTATCGATTGTCAGCTGTTGTTAAGTCTACAATTCATGGGTATAGATGTAAGTAATAATACGGTTGTGAGTATAGAATCGTAATGTCTCGCGGTACGAACGTGATATGTCGTAACGTACGTGTACGCTGAGTGTATAGTAGATCCTTGGTCGAGGCTGCCATTCATAAGTATTCTTTTAAGTATGGCAGAGAAGCCATTCATGCCTGCGTCGCCATTCAACCTTAGTCGGTCCACTGAAAATACTGTATTTATATAGAAGGAAATGGTTACGTGCTGGTAAAATAGGTCGGACAGATAGATATCCTTTACGGAATTAGAAATGGTTTAATTTCGGATCGACAGGCTCGAATGCAGCTGCACAGGGTTTCGTGGAAGGAATAGACGTGACTCCTGGAGACGACGCCTACTGGTACCGAGACGGAAGTGACGTCTGTCAGGAAAACAAGTGGACGAAGGGACCAATGACGAAACTTGGGAGTGTGGCGAAATCGTGGGGTAAAAAAAAAATGATCCTTTGGCGAAATTTTCGCAGAGGTTCGGGTATATAGGTATACTTGGAGACGCGGTAGATTTTATGATGGTCGTCGGGTCGCTTGGACGTCTTGGACCACTTGGAAGATTAATCGTTTTATCCTTTCTGTTTTTCTTGGCGATTGCCACGCGCCGCGACGCTTTACGCTAAGCAGAGTCCGGTGAATTTACTTCGAATCTTGGGAGCGAGTCATCTCGCCAAGGAAAACATTCGTGATACTTTGAAGGTATATATATATATATATATATATGTAGATACGTATAGGTATAGTATACGCATAGATGTAGAAATTGATATGCCGACAGCTACACGTGTCCCGAAGACGTCAAGATCGCGTGGCAGACGTCCTTGATCGAATAAATTTAATTTTTGCGAATGAGGTAAAGGAACGCTCTTAAAGATATTACCAAGAATTTTCCTCGAGATGTATATACGTTTCCTCGTGCTTTTCTCGGAGCTTCTTAAAAATAATAAGAGACTTGATATCCCGAAGCAATTTGCGCCCCCGGATATCTGGCTTAAGTGTTACCATGCCTGGTTTCTTCACACGGCCATTTTCCATTTCTAACCTAACCCGATGGAGCTCGGTGTATTCCTGGCGACGAGGCAAGAATTTCAATATACCATGGATATAGAAGAGTGTGAGGGGAAAAAAAAACTTAAGTAAACTCATATAGAGAGGAGATCTCTCAAAGGCGTAGGCATCCTCCGGAGTTCCCTTCCAGCGTCCGAGGACCTTTTTCGACCTGGGTCCGCGAATTCTTCAGAAAATCCGTTTTCAACCGACTTCACTCTTTCTTGGTATTACAAGAATGACCAAAGACACGCGCTAAAATGGAGAATCCTTAACCTAAATAACACGTTCTCGCTTATTTCTACGTGCATACGAGTAGAACGAGTCTTTTTATGCCTGGACCAATTTCCACGGGATTTCCGGAGATCCTCTCCCGGCTACTCACAATTGGCAAGTGTCTGGTGTTCCCAACCAGTAACAATGTATACAGTGAGAAAATTGGAGGATTCCAGTAATCCTCACGGATTCTTCGCCGACGGCATCCGACCGCAGGAAGTGAGCAGGAGGAAATTACTTGCAAATTACTTTACTGGAGTAATTCATCTCTCAGGACCCTAAAGGGATGCTGGGGTCAGGTTCACCCGAAGCGCCAACAGTTTACGCGGCTAGCAGCTCATATTCGATTTGAAATTGCCCTCGAGTATCGCTACTGTTTACCGCTACTTCACATAACTCCTCATTACTTAAAGTCCATTAATTCATAATAGCGCCCGATCGCTGTACCATTATCTTTGGCTCTAAGGAGCCTGACTTTAATCATGACAAAGGTCAATCTTCATCATCGGAGAATTCGATTACTTATAAAATTATTGACATGGAGTATTATCATAACGGGTTGGTTAACTGGTTGACAATTATCCTGCTGATAAGGAGAGAAGGGGGTGGCCGGAGGTACAATAGCCAACTGGTTAGCTCGTACCGTGCAGCTGGTCTCTCGTTAACCATCCAGGAAACGATGTGAATCCAATCGGTTGGAAAATTCGATCCATCGACAGCCAATCTGCCAACATCACTGGATCCTGCGGTTCGGTACGGGGATGCTGGGTGAGCTTACCGGGTCCAGGGTGTCCAGTGTCTGTTTTCACGTGCATGCGCCACGTGTATTTTCGGGTGACGGTACTGGTAGAGGAAATGCTGGTGCCACGGAGCGGGTTAATCGTCACAAAGGACGTCTCGTTAGCAGGGAATTAAACGGATTATGGTCTGTGTCTGGTTGTGTCTCTATCGGCATCATCTCCTCCGCCATGGACCAATAGGCATGAACAGAGACGCAATGAAATACCGGAATACCGGAAGAGCATGGGAGTAGAAACGGAAGCGCGTGTATTATATGGGACATTAAGTAGGAGAGAAAGCCTAACGAGGAGGAGAGGATGGGAGACAGTGTAGAGAAATAAACAAAAGGAGAACAAAGGAAGGTACTCGTAGCTCGTTTATTCCCTCGTAAAACGTGCCGACCTTGCTCGTGGCCTTGTTGGCATATCCGCTTTTTGGATTTTAATAATATTAGGGGTGTAGAAGGGGATTTCACAGCTGCCCATTGCTATAGGATATACCGTTACTCCCCTTTGACCCAAAATCATCCCGACCCTTGTTGGCATACGTGTAATCTTTTTTTATATAATTATACACTATCTCCGTAATATTTGGAGGTTATCCACCCTTGATTATTCCGTTTGGTCTGTCTCCCGTCTGTTTTTATTAAATTTCTTTGTTGCCCGGCAAATTCGAAAAATGCGTCCCGCACTGCGAATTACGTGATCCGCGTGTACAGCTCTGGTATTTTCGATATTTTTATTCGAAAACCCCGGGGGCGTCCGCATCGATTGAATTTCAAACGAAATTCAAATTACATTTAATTTGCTTAGCCAGCGACGGTAGCTCGCGAGGGATGAACGCGGGGCTAGACGGGGGTGGCGGCGGCGGGGGTGGAGCTGGAAAGAGGGGGCAGTAGAGAGGTACGAGGATTGCAGGGTTTGAGGTCCGTGTTACCGGAGGGTTGCTATAGCGAAATGGCACCGTAGTAATGTTGGTAGAACGCAAAAGGGCTCCGACCGTAAAGCCATGGCCCACGTTATATATATTCTATTATCGGCTCTCGTACAGTCGGGCCGGTACGGTTCATTAAAGCGACTCGAAATTTGCAAACATAAACTCTCTTTATCCGAGACGGCGGCACGCAGAGCATCCACCGTATAGACTGTATCTACCAACCCTCCCGGCATCGTTACGCCGGCACTTCTCCGAGATTAGGATTCTCATCCCTTCGCTATAAATAAACTCTTGAGACTCTCAAAATATCGGGGTCCATATACGTTTCTATATCCTTCTGCATCGTTCTTCGTGGCCACCTAGCGGGGAAATACCGGTACCACGTAAAAAGTGTTATTATTATACCGGTAATACTCTTAACCGTAGGATGCAAATTCAATGAGGATTGAAACAGGATGTAGAAGCGGTAGCTCAGCATCAGAACAGGAAACGGTTCCCCGTGGTGTCGGTATGCTACAGTGAGGTTAGGTAAGAAGGTAAGTATAGCTAGAGGTCGGTGAGATGGCGTTAGTGACGGTGCTCTCTCGCTTCCAGTATCGGATGTCTCATCTGC